GACATCCAACAACCAACCCTCTTTCCTCCTCCCCAGACAAACAGTGGCCTCTTGGAAAAACCAAAGACCTCTTAACAATTAACTTTGCAGATTCCTGCAACAACTTGGACTTGGAGCCCTGATCAACCTGAAAGGACATACATCTTCCCCCTTCGTCACTAAGTACTGGGCAGGCACGGAGATCACCAGCAACTACCCTTTTTGAATTGGCATTGACCTTATTTTGATGCTCAGCTTGGCAGCCTTGGAGCTTTAGGCTTGGACCCCAGAGCTCTGGGGTGGGACCTGTGCCTAGAGATTGGCATTCCAGGATGATGAATGGTTGCATGCCCCAGGCTGTATACTTAGCAAGAAGCATGCAGCAGCTGTGTGACTCAATCCCCAGGAGTAGAATAGTGTCTCAGTTCCAGCATCCAGCCCAGTCTGAAGTCTAAAGCAGAATAACCAAATCAGCAATGCCAGACTAAAGGGGAGCCCATAGTTCTGTCACTCTGAACCAGAAGGTCTTTCCAGCTGGATGATAGTGATCAAATCCAGCAGCAGTCTACATAATGCCAAATGGAGCAAACCCACAGACTTGTTGCTCTGACCCAAACCCAGGGCAGAAACTTGTAGAACTCAGACCAGGAGGGTAGATATCAGACTTGGCCTAGGATCAGAAGACTTTGGAAATACTGTAATCTTGCAAGTCCTCAAGAATGAGTTGTCCCTGAGATCCTGGAAAACCTCAATACTTGATACCCTTAGAAATCATTAGTAGGACCAGCCTAGGCACTCCCAACAGAAACGTTCAGAACTGAGCCCTAATATAAAGTCCAAAGTCAAGAAGCAGGCTAGAAGAATGTGCAAATAAAAAAGAATTCCACCAAAAAAAAATGGTGACAATAATGCTCAAGACACTTGGGCACACGTTCAAATAGAATTCCAGGATAAGATAAAGCAAGAGTTTGAAAGAAGGTTTAACTTTTAAACTCTTGCTTTATCTTAAGTGATATGAAAGCACTGGAGGAAAAATTGGAAAAGAAATTATAGCTGTGCAAGAGAATTGGAAAGATGATTAGTAGCATAGCACAAGAGATATAAAAACTTTCCCAACCAACAAACTCTCTAAAAATTAGAATGGAACAAGAGAAGCTAATGATTCCCTAAGGTAACAAGAAATATATTTTTTAAAAAGTCAAAAGATTGAAAAAAAATTGGAAATGTAAGGTAGCAAAAAACTGACTTTGAAAATGGATTGAGGAAAAAACACTCAACGGGAAAACAAAAAGGAAAGGAAAAAGGGAGAAGGGCTAATAAGAAAGAGGGAGGACAGATTAAAGGAAGGCTTAGTTCTAAGCAAAACTAACTATAAGGATGTACAAAAATATTTATAGCAATTCTTTCACTATAAGTGGCAAAGAACTGGAAATTGAGAGGTTGCTCATCAATTGGGGAATAGCTTATCAAGTTATGACATATAAATATGTTGGAATGCTATCATGCTGGAAGAAGTTATGGGGGTGGGGTGGGAGCAGATCCAAGATAGCAGAGAAAAGGCAGGGACTTGCCTGAGCTCTCCCAAATCTACCTCCAAATACCTTTAAATAATGCTTCACTACAAATTCTGGAGTGGTAGAACCCACAAAAGGATGGGATGAAGCAATTTTATATCCCAAGACAACTTAGAAGGCCGTCAGGAAAGGTTTATCTCACCAAGGTAAGATTGGAGTACAATCTAGTACAGGCCACGCCAGGGCCTGGAACTCTAGACCTGGGGTCAGGAAGACTTTAGTTCACATCTAGCCTCAGACACTTACTAGCTGTGTGACCCTGGGCAAGTCACTTAACTGTGATTTGCCTCAGAAAAACATGGAAAGATTTGCATGAACTGATGCAAAGTGAAATGAGCAGAACCAGGAGAACAATGTACATAGCAATAGCAATATTGTAAGATGATCAACTGTAAATGGCTTAGCTATTCTCAGCAATACAGGGATCCAAGACAGTTCCAAAGGACTTACGATGAAAAATGCTTTCCATCCCCAGAGAAAGAATTAATGGAATCTGAATGCAGATTGAAGCATACTTTTCCTTTACTTTATTTTTCTTGCTTTTTTATTGTTTTCTTTCACAGCAAGACTAATATGGAAATATGTTTTGCATCACTACGCAGTATGATATACATCAAATTGCTTGCCTTCTCAATGAAGGGGAGGGAGGGAGAGAATTTGGAACTCAAAAATTTTTTTAAATTAATGTTAAAAATTGTTTTTACATGTAATTGGGGGAAAATAAAACATTAAATCATTTTTTAAAGTTGTGAAGGGGATGATTTTAGAGAAACCTGGGAAGACAAATATGAATTGATATAGAATTAAAATAAACAGAATCAGGAGAACAACTTATACAGTGACAAAAATATTATAGAGAAAAACTTGGAAAGATTTAGGAACTCTGATCAGCACAATGATTCCAGAAGACTCATGATTGTGCTCCCTCTCTCACAATAGGAAACTGAAGGAGGGCAGATTGAGAGAGTTTGTTCTATTTTGTTTTTTAGCATGGCCAATGAGGGAATTTGTTTTGCTTGACTGTACATGTTTGTAACAGTTTTATTTTCCTTTGTTTCTCAATTGGAGAGAAAGGAAAGTAGGAGGGAGAAAAGACTGTTTTTTGCTGATCTAAAAAAAATAATTTGAAAATGGAAGCATGGTATCAATAACTAGCAAATTTATAATATTTTTTACTCTACAGTGGGCAGATATCATCTAAAATATTGTATTCCTTCTGAGTGCCGTATTTTAGGAAGGAACTCAAGGGAAAAATTTCCTACCTTAGTAGAATTTGGCCCTCAGTTACAGGAATTAGGGAAGTAGAGGGTAGAAATTTATATGGGAGAAGTAAAGCTGTTTAGAGTAAGAAATGGAGTCAAAGTAAACAGTTGGGGGGCTAAAATAGGTCACTAATCCTTAGCCATTAATGGTAGGGGCAGCCACTAACCCAAGCAATGTTAAAAGATCTCAAGGTAGGCCCCCAGAAAAGGAGGACAAGGGAAAGAATGGGATAAGATGAAAAGGCAGGGACTTACTGCTAATTGCTAGGCTGAAGGCAGGGACCATACTGATGAACACTGTATCAAGGTATCCTTTGGCATATATCTATCTTCTGCTCCTAGCCATGTGAAAGTCTGTCACTTTCAAGTCTTGCTAAAGTCTTCCTTCCTGGAATGATAGGTGACCACTAGAAGCAAGATCCTCTAACTTAATAGATGAGCAAAATTATGGGCAAGGAGTTAAGTGGAAAAAAAATGAAAAACTGGGAAAATAGAGTTGTTTTTTCTGTCTCTTTACCTTCATTTATTTTGATCTGTGATGTGATCAAAGTGTTTTTTTTAAAAAATTGTGTCATCTGTGTTACAAATATATGTTTTGGCTAGAATGAGATTTCTGAAAATTATTCTAAATTTGTTAATTTTATTTTATGTAATTTATCTGTAAATAGATCCATCCACAGTATGGTTCAAAGTGTTACTACATTTTGTGAAGCAAAAGAGGTGGTTTTTTCCTTCAGTCTTCCTACGATAGAGAAGGGCTCTCCCAGGTCACAGAGGCTAATTAATTAATATTGTTGGGGGTTAAGTACTTTGAGTTCTTTGGTAGAAAGGTTCTCTACAAATAAAAAGTTGTTGATGTCCTTCTTTTTCTCCTTAAATCCATGAAAAGGAGTCTGGCAGCACTCCACTGTAGAGAGAACACTAGTCTTGGGATGTGAAAGAGCTGGATTTTCCAGCCCCAGCTCCCTGACTTACCGTGTGTGCATGAATAAATCAATCACCTTCCCTAGATCTCCGTTTTCTCTACAGTAAGATGATCTCTGAGTGGCAATTGCAAAGTACCAGAGGGGAGGGGAGGGGTAGAGAATCAGCATTTTATAGCACTTACCATGTGCCAAGTACTGTGCTAAGCATTAAGGGATAGGATCAAATAGTAAAATAGTACAGGTTCTCAAGAAATTCCCATTCTAACGAGTGAGACAATACATATCTAAAGTTTCAGCCGCAAGTCAAATGGAAAGGCCCCACAGTCCCTAGGATGCCGTGGCAAAGCAGGTGTTAATGCTTCTTTAATGACATTTCAATGGATTAAATCACATCAGCTTCTGATGCTGAACCATTTGACAGTGTCAAGGCTTTTGGCAGCAAGAACTTTCCTTTCTGGCTCTTCGGTAACTCTGAACGACCTAAGGGAACAGTAGCCAGGCTGCGGCACCTCTATTGCTTCCCAAGATGATAGGTGAGGGCACTGGGCTGGAAGCAAGGCTATTTATCCCCAGGGCTTTGGGGGATAGCGTCCTCGGTTGTCTCCATCGGTGTCTGAAGGTCCAAGTGGTGATGGTGGTTTGACCAGCTGGACACACGCTAGCCCCTGTCTCTCCTTCAAGATGTCTTGCTGATTCAGCTAAGCTGGCTTGCCACACAGTAGGAGCTTAATGTATTATACTGAATTGAACTGAAATTGAATCGACTGTGTTCAAGTCCTGTCTGGGTGACCTTGGCCAAGTCAAACTCTCCATGCTTAGGACTATAACAGAGAAGATGTCCACCTGCCTGCACAGGTAGAGAGAGTTTCTTCACCTGGAAGGACCTTAGATTAATGAAATCACAGGTCCAGTCCCTCCCTACCCCCAAGTCTATGATGATCTCTAAGGATTCCTGTCACTCCAGAGTGACCACATGACACTCAATTAGCTAGCTTACGGGTCTCCAGTTTGGGTAAGTGTCCTTAACACGCCCAATGGGTTTTCGAGGGGCTCTGCGCGCGTGCGCCCTGGGAGCCCGGAGCGCGCTCCCGATGCCGGCCCCGCCCGTCTCGGAGCCAGAGCCAGCCTCGGGAGACTACAGGCCTTTTCCAGTGGGGGTGGGCCACGTGTTCGCGCTGGGAGCGTCAGGACGCACGCACGCTCAAGGGAGGGAGGGAAGGAGGGAGGCGCCGCCACTTCCGGGGTTGTGAAGCCGGGACGCTGGTTCTCTGGCCGGCTGAGCGGCTGTTGGGGAGGCGGAGAACTTGAAGCTGGGGGTACCCCGGAGTCGGGGCCTGTCCTGGCTGCCCTTTGGCCGGGGTCCCCGCTGCGGGGCGGGGAGGGGCGGGCCCCGGCTGGACTAGCTTTCCCCTCCTCATTCTCGGGGAGGCAACGGCCCCGACCCCGGCCTCGGGCCTCGTCCGGGTGATCCGCGGGAGCCCCGCTGCCCCAGCCAAGGTAACCTGCTCACCTCGGCCGCTTCCGCCTCCTCGTCCTCCGGCCCCTGAGCCCCTGCCGGCCCTTCTGGCGACCGACACCTGCGCCCGGGGCTTAGAAGCTGTCAGTGAGCGGGGCCCAGCGCGGGTGACGTCAGCCTGACCCCCTCTCTCTCCCCTCCCACCCCCATTTTTCTGAGTCTTGTGGTTAATGGAAATCCCTGGTTGTTTGTATAAAGTACCAGGCACCACCATCAGGTACTCAGATACGTTCTTGGGGTTACTCATTTAGCCCAAGTTTCAAGGGACATAAGGCCATCTCGTTTTATTGATGAAGAAAATTGAGGCCGAGATTAAGGGAGATCACACAGGCACTAAAGTAGCGTTTGAACCCAAGACTCCTGACTGCTGGGTCAGGCTCTTTCCGCAGTACCAACCACCTTGTCATTTTCAACTGTAAAATTACGGAGTTGTACTGTTTTTAACCCGAGGTCCCTGAACTTTAAAAAAAATTAATAACTGTTTTCCACTATAATTGGCATTCTTTGTAATCTTATGTATTTTATTTTATGCATTTAACAAATATTTTGAGATTCTGAGATATTGAGATAACATTCTTGAAAGGGAATCCTATGGCATATCAGACTGCCAAAGGAGTCCATAATACCAAAAAAAAGGTTAAGAACCCTTGGACTAGATGTTCTTTAAAGTCATCTCCAGCTCTTTATATTATATTATGTTCCCCAATTCATCTGTGTAAAAAGAAAGACCTGAATTCAGATTCTGCCTCTGACTGAACACTGGCTCTGTGACCTCTTGTGACCTTACATTTGTTTTTAAAGTGAAATTGTGTACTTTTTGAGCTCCTTATCCATGCTCTACCAGACTGTTATCCTACAAACAGGATGATTGTAATGCTTATACTAGGGAACTGAAAAACCAGAGTTATATAACCTTTATTCTAATGATTGATAGAGCTAGAAGAGAAAATGAAGTTATCTTATTCACCCCTGTAATTTTACTAAGGAAACTGAAGCACACAGATTAAATGATTTACCCAGAGTTGCTCAGCTGAGTTAACGTCAGAGCCAGGACTAGAACAGGACACTGTCTTCTGACTTTTGGTGTTCTTTACAGATAGACATTTTAAAATGAAATGTTAATGCTTTTTAAAAATGTTTAGTCTTGCATCTTGGATGAAATGTTTAGTTCGAAAAGTACTTTCCTTACAACAACCCTATGAGGTAGATAATAAATGTTATCCCTATTTGACACGTGTAGAAACTAAGATTAGGAAGTTATGATTTGTCAGTAACTATGTTGCTAAATAAGAATCTGCAAAAACATTTTAACTCAAGCCTCCTGATTTCAAATCCAGTTTTCCATCCACTGTGCTATGAACTACGTCTCAGGAGTTAAGAGTATTGAGTTTAGAGCCAAGATCACCTGGGATCAAATACCACTTCTGACATTTACTACACATATAACCCTGAGCTAATCACTTCTGTGAGCCTCAGGTAATTTCCTAGGATTTTCCTGCTATGGTGATACTCATTCTGACATTTAGGAGTTAGGGAGCCTCTTTAGAAACATCATGTTCATTTCCCTTCCACAGGAATCCAGATTGTTAGGGTAGTAATATAAGACTGGAGACTTGGTGTCTGTCACCAGAATGTCAAGGTTTGTTTGAGAAAAAAATTGTATTGGTTATTTATGAGCACCTTTGAGTTTTTGCATTCTTTGTTTGGGGTAAAATAAAGTCTATTCTGTTTTCATTTTGCTTTGTTACATTGAACTGTTGCATAGAACAGGAGTCCCTTTTACCTACATCAGTAAAGACTTACATTAAGCTATATTGTGGGATTCCCAGAAGAAACACCATATTGGGGCCAATTGAGCCAGAGAGATGATTTTTGAGAAGTCCCCAGGGCTAAACTTGGTCTATGTAAACCCAGTTGTAATCTTCATTAATGGAAGAAGTTTTCACCCTAGAAATTTCTCAGGGTAACAATCACAGATTTGCATGTTTACATAGTCTTGCTTCATGCTGTCGTACAGAGAAAATATGACCATTTCATTTTTGCCTTCTGGGAAATTTTCCAAAGCCTATATTTTATTTTTAAAGTATCTTTTTCTTTCTATAGGTTTAGACCTTTTTTGGCTTGGAACAAAGATGGCAGAAGAAACTCCAGTGTCTTCTGAGAAGCTCATTGTACATTCGGAGGCTCACAGTGGTACCATTCTGGCTAACTTTGAGGAACAAAGGAAAAGAGGCTTTCTCTGTGATATAACTCTAATAGTGGAAAACGTACATTTCCGGGCCCACAAAGCTTTACTGGCTGCCAGTAGTGAGTATTTCTCAATGATGTTTGCAGAAGAAGGGGAGATAGGCCAGTCAATTTATATGCTGGAAGGTATGTTAGCAGACACATTTGGTATACTGCTGGAATTCATCTATACAGGTTATCTTCATGCTAGTGAAAAAAGTACAGAACAAATATTGGCTACTGCTCAATTTTTAAAAGTGTATGACTTAGTAAATGCTTACACTGACTATCAAAGCAATCATAGCTCAACAAACCCAACCTCTTTGGCTACTGGTGGAGCTCCAGTAGTTGTTATTTCTAATAAGAAAAATGATGATCCTCCAAAGCGAAAACGAGGGAGACCAAGAAAAGTCAAAAATTTGCAAGTGGTAAAACCAGAAATGGCTTCACTTGAAGACAACCAGCTCAGAGAGAATAATTCTGTTCAAAATAAACAAAACTCTATGGCAAAAACAGTAGAAGGAAGCAATAGTATAACAAATGTACAGATCCCAGTAAGAGAAGTGGAAGAATCTGAGCATGCTTGTGGGTCAGGCACTGTGGAAATGCCAACAGAAGAAGATGAGAACTGTGATCCTAAGTCCCAGGATGTACAGGGCAGTCAGAGTCGCTACAGCAAGCGCAGAATTCAAAGATCTGTTAAACTCAAAGATTATAAACTTGTTGGGGATGAAGATGATCAGTGTTCAGCCAAGAGAGTATCTGGAAGAAGAAAACGCCCTGGTTCTGAGGCTCGCTGTAAAGAGTGTGGCAAGGTGTTTAAGTACAATCACTTTTTAGCAATCCATCAGAGAAGTCATACAGGTATAATGCTTTCTTGGTATGTTGAAATTTTGACTGATTAATTGAGAATGTGAGAAACTTTGTTTTTGCCAAAGCTAACCCCTTCGTGTTGAATGCTAACTCTGGGACTGTGTTGTATCAGTCATCCTGTCTGACACCTGCACTCTCTCTGATACCTTCCCTTGCATAGGCGTGTGTGTACATGCTTAGGTCTCTGTATTCTAAAAGATTCATCCTTTGATCTTCAGTAAGATATAGGCTTCTCGAGGGCATAATACCTTATGTATGTTAGGCACGTAATACATTTTTTGTTGAATTTTGTTGTTTGACCCTGCCAATCATTCAAGTTACCACCATCTATCTCTTCCCCTTCACTGCTAAGCTCTAGGAAAAAAGTTTTTATTTACTTCTTCTACCACATTATCACCCACTCATTCCTCAGTCCCACCTATAAAGTGTTCTGACAAAGATAACCAGTGAGCTCCAGTAAACATTTCTTAGTCCCCATCCTCCTCGACCTTTCTGCACTATTTTAATCCTACTAATCGCCCTACCCCTGATAGTTTTTTCCCATATTCTATCATGATAGATTATCTTAGTTTCTATTACTCGTCTCTTGTCTTCTTTCTGTTTTCCAAGTGTGGGCTTCTCTGAAGGCTGTATACTAAGCCCTCATCTCCATATGTATTCTCTCCCTCAACAATTTCATCAATTTCCATAGCTTCAATTATCACTTAGTATCGAAGAAGGATAGGACCTTTGAGATCCAAGTACTTATAACTGCATCTCTTAATGAACCCTCTTCCCTTTCGACAGCATAATTGGCCCCTGTGTTGATCAAAGTTTTGAAGTCCTTCAAAATTGTTTTTTTTTTACGTTATTTTCATCATTAGGAAAAGTGGTTTCTGGTTCTATTCCACTCTGCATTTGTTCACCTTGCACACTCATATGTGCAAGCCTACTGTGTTACTAGCTGCTTACTCATCTTACTTTTTCTTCTCACTATTCTTCATTTCATAACATAATAGCTCCAAATTGAGCAATCTTTCCACTACAATGCTACCTCCTCATCCCCATTAAATGCTCCTCACCCCTTCTTTGACAATTGCTGTTCTTGTCCTTCAAGCCCCTCAGAGGTGCTCTCTCCCTCATACCTTCCCAGAGCCTTCAGCTACAAGTGGTCTCTCCTTCCTTCTGCTTCTCATAACTCTGTTTGACATCTCCTGGCCCTTCCAGTCTTTTATAGTTAGTATACTTGTTAGTTATATAGTTAGTATACTTTTATCTACCTGCTATAGTAAGCTCCCTGAGGCTTGGTCTGGGTGTTTTTTCTTTTGTTTTATTTTTTCCCCCATTTTTGTATTCCCAGTGCTTAGCAGGGTGTCTTGTGCCTGGTGGATACTTAAATACGTGTTTGGATTTAATTTTTTACATTCTCCTATTTTTGGACTTGCTCTAGGGGAACGACCTTTCAAATGTAATGAGTGTGGAAAAGGTTTTGCCCAAAAGCACTCATTGCAAGTTCACACAAGGATGCACACGGGGGAACGGCCATATACCTGTACTGTTTGCAGTAAGGCTTTAACTACAAAGCATTCTCTACTGGAGCACATGAGCCTACACACAGGTAACTAACTGTACTCAGGGCAAATCAAACTGATGCCAAAAAGCCATCCATTTCTTTAGTTAGGATTAAAACTACCTAGATTTTCGAACCCCAAGCTTTACCCAAAAAAAAGTTTTCAGTTTTAAGCCTCCATAAATTCTGCCTGACATTGAGCATGATAATGGTGTAATTGAAAATCACTTTCCCTGTTAGATGAAATGGGCTTTCCCCAGTGGTGAGAGTGTATATTTTCGTTTTCCTTCCTGAATTTTTTGCTTTGACAAAGTTAATTTTCCTCTTTTTTTTTTTTTTTTAACCTCCCTCCCTTTTCCCTTACTTCTTTCCCTCCCCTCCCACCCCTACCCAGGACAGAAGTCTTTTACCTGTGATCAGTGTGGAAAGTATTTCAGCCAGAAAAGACAGCTGAAGAGTCATTACCGAGTCCATACAGGTACAAGGATTTGGGGAGAAGTCTGGATTGGTGAAATGAGGAAAAACAACACAGCTCTGGTATCTAAAACAGAACTAAGTAAATAATAAAATAGAATTGGTATTTGTTTCCAAAGAAATCTGAGTTAGCTCCCATAATATTAGGATTCTGTACTGTAGTATGCTATACTATTCCTCTTCTACATTTTTACCTGCTTCCAGCTTTAAGGGGTACCACAAACTCGTTCACTACTTAGGCCTTAGTCGACTTGGTCTAGCTTGTCTCTTTTCTCCGAAACATATTATCTGGATCATAGGGCAGAGGCAGACAAACAGTAACTTCCAAAGGAGTCCCCTGTAGCTCTGAGCTCTTATTGTTTCTGTCCTTGATTTATTTGTTTCTTATTTCCCACCTACACTCATCTGCCAACAGCAGAGAAAGCAAAGGGTTGGTTGAGAATGAAGAGATCATTGGTTTAGGCCCCTTCCAGATTTCAGAGAGGAAAGGTGGAGGAAGTTTATTTAAGGCAGAGTAAAGGGCATCTCAGCTTGGAACATTAGTGGACTCAGCATGATTTAACTGAAATAAAGTGTGAAGATAAATAGAAATTATTGCAGAAATAATCAATGAAAACCATTGTTTTGTTAAAGTATTATATTAAAGTGGTTATTTTGCAGGGAAGTGCTTTAACACAGATCACTGAAGAAATACAGGGGAAACATACATGCACTGACACTTTTTTTATTATTGCGACAAGGCCATTCGTTACCGGAATGTAACCACTGTCATCGCAAATTCATGGATGTATCTCAGTTAAAGAAACATCTGAGAACACACACAGGTAATATGAACATATGATGTGTTTTGTTGGAGTAGATCATCAGCCTTGTCTAGTGGATAGGGCTCTGGACTTGGAGTCAAGACGACTTAGGTTCAAATCTTTCCTTTGATGTAGTCTGACCAGGGACAAACCACTTAGACTTGTTAATCCTCAGTTTCCCCATCCCTAAAATAGGCATAATACCTATACTATGGAGCTTACAGGTTCAAACATCCAGCCTTGACAAACTTCCAAAATTCTGGCAACATCTGTCTATAGAAAAGGGTGAGGTTTTTGTTTGTTTTAATGTAAGGTTTTCTGTAAAATTAGTAGTCCCCTAAGAATATATTTACTTTAATCATCATTTTCATTGAATAGTTTGTTTTAATATATGTATTGAGTTTAGACTACTTCTTTTATGGATTTGTGATTTTATCTGTTTGGGTACTCCACTACTGACAGATTATAACTCCCTTCATCCAGAAAAGTGACTCTTAGTAGATGGTCTTTGTGATTTCTCATAGTCAAAAAAAATTCATCACCTCATGGCCAGCCATGTGGTAGATGAGCACTTTTAAATCTGGTTAAGCTGGTTCTTAGGTAGCAGATAGGCATGTTCAAAGTCCTTCTTCAAAGGCACACGTTCAGCATCTGTTCAGCCACATAAGACCTGCCAGAACTTGTTCTCTGCTCTACAGCCTTTCAGAGGCCCGTGGTCAAGTCGTCTTAACACCTGGATGAGATGTTAAAAATAGGACTTTAATGGAGGCCTAAAGGCCACAAGATAGTACAAATCACAGCCAAGTCATTGTCCTATGTAGAGTACTTTCCACATTTGACGTTGTTACAAAAGGAATTGGGAGAGAAGAGGGAAAATACAAATGTCTCTCAAAGTTAGCTTAGGCAGTAAGAATCGCTCAAATAATTTTTCCCCCTAGAAACAACTTGTTACTCAATAGTTGAGCACTACCACCTCCAGAAAAGTCAGCTTTGGGCAGCAAAAGGCGATAGGAGTGATAAAGAAAACTCAAAACCTTTTATGTTAAGGTAAGCAAAGTAATTCACAAAAACTTTTGGGGCAGGGTAACTGATGTATTGATATCGGATTTCTAATAGAAAATGTTCTCAGTTTGGGATATCGCTCATTTCTAATAGTGAATTTTTGTAGTCAGTTTAAATCTGAAAAGTTTTTATTATTGCCACTGACTGACCTTTTAAAAAAAAATAACAAACAGATTTGGTATCTTAATTTGATCCCAAGTCCTATTGAACCTTTGAAAATGCCTCATGTCTCCATCCTTTCTCTATTCCTACTGCTGCAACTCTAGTACAGACCTACCTCATCTCAAACTTGTACTACTATAGCAGCCTCCTGACTTGAATTCTGCTTACAGCCTTTTACTCTCTGGTCCATGCCAGATACTGACATCATATGGTCTTTAGAAGACACTGAGTTGTTGTTTTTTGGGGGGGGGGGGGGGGGGGGGTGTGGGTTGGGGGGGGGTGGGGGGGGGGGGGGGGGGGGGGGGGGCGGGGTAGGTTATGGTATGGGATGGTATGGTAGGGCTCACTGGTCTTAGCGAGGTCTTAATCCTAGCTCAAACACTCATATGACTTTGAGCAAGTCAGTTCTCTGGATCCCCTTCAGTTTCATTATCTTTAAAATGATGAGTTTGGACTAGATGATCTCCAAGTTCCTTGCCAGTTCTAATGTTTTATAAACTGTCACCCTAGGTGCAACCAATCCATCCTCTCTGAGCCTCATTTTATTAGTCTATAAGATGGAGATGGAGAGGTAATCCCAGAGTTATGAATTAAGTGAAAATTTAGTGCTATATGTCATTTGTTATGTCACTCCCTTGTTAAAAAAAAAATAAAAATAAACTGCCAGTGGCTCCCCATTCCTCACAGGATAAAGTCCAGATGTAGCATAGAATTCTCAGAATCTGAGTCGAAAGTGACCTGAAGAGTTGGTGAATATAACTAAGACCTGAACAAGAATTCCCTATACAACCTACTTAATGAGTGACTGTTTGTATAAAACGTAAACCTATCTCTGCAGCTTTGACCCATGGCACCTGGTTCTCCCTTCTAAGGCCACACAGAACAAATATATCCTTTTTCCACCTGACAGACCTTCAAATATTATTTGGGATAATAGACCATAGGATCACATATCTAGAGCTGACAGAGATCTTAAGCATCATCTGGTCCTCCCCTGATTTTACAGATGAGAAAACTGGCCCAAAAAAGCTCAGTGATTTTCCCATGTTTATACATAAAGTAGCAGAACCAGTATAAACAGTACCATGTTAATCTTTTCCAAAGTTGGCACCCTTTTCATTGTACCATAACTATCATTTGTCCTCTGAGTTTTCTCTTCTCCATGCTTAACATTCCCAATTCCATCAGTTGATTATTGTTTGGCGTACCATGTTCTTGTTGAACTTTTTCTGGCTTCTAATGGTTACCACTTCTCTTTTTAAGTGCTTATATACTATTTGCATGTTTATAATCTGACTTCAGCCTCTCCATCCACCTTTATTTCACTATATTCATTATCTGAAAATTAACTCATCTTTTTGCCTAAAATCTCTCCTCTTCCAAACTTCCTTATTTCTGTCACAGGCACTGCTATCACTCCAGTGTGTCAGGTTCATAATCTTGGCATTATCTTGGACACTTCATTCTCCCTCTCCCCACATATCCAATCAGTTGTTAAATGTTGCCATTTCTGCCATCATAACATTTCTTGAATACAACTCTTTCTCTGTACTCATGCATCTGTCTGCTACCTACTTCAGGCCCTCATCTGTTCTCACCGTGATTATGACACTGTCTCCTAATTGATCCTCCCACTTCAAGCCTCTCCCTACTCTGGTTTGTTCCATATACTGCTGCCAAAATAATTTTCTTAAGAATAGATCCGATTGGGGCAGCTGGGTGGCACCGTGGATAGAGCCCTGGCCCTAGAGTCAGGAGGACCTGAGTTCAAATGCGGACTCAGACACATGACACTTACTAGCAGTGTGACCCTGGGCAAGTCACTTAACCCCGATTGCCTCATCAAAAAAGCAAAAAAAAAAAAAATCTAATCGTGTGATTTCCCCTATTCACTAAGTTCCAATGGCTTCCTTTTATCTCAGATAAAATATAAATTCCTGTTTAGCTTTTAAAGCATTATACAACCTGGCCCTAACCTGTCTTTCAAGCCTCATTAGCCATTCGTCATCTTCCCACGCTGCAGTGCAGCCCAACTGACTTTCTCTTTCTCCTCACAACACTCCATCTCCCATCTTCATGCATTTGCACTGGCTGCCCTCCATGTTTAAAATCCACTCTGTCCTTTCCTCCACCTCATAGAACCTTCTCTTTCCTTAAGACAGAGCTTAGGCAGCATCTTCTGCATGAAACCTTTCCTGATTTCTGCCTCCTGCCCCCAACCTACCATCTTGCCTCCCAAACTGCCTTTTATTTAGTTACTTAGTATTTATTTTTATTAACTTTATATTTATGCTATATGTACTTTTTACATATACTTACTTCCATTGAAATATATGCTTATTTTGAGTAAGGATTGTGTTTCATGCTTGGTACTAGTATCCCCAGTGCTTAGTATAGTGACTGGCACATAATAGGCACTTTATAAACACATGTTGATTGGTTGTCACTTCCCATATGATTCCTTCTGTTCTCTTTTACTATCTTCCAGACTTCATGCTTATTCCCGATGTCAAGTTTTTCTTCTTATTCAAATATTTTCAGCTCATTTTGATCTTTCTTCCCTGTAGTATCTGTTGTCTACACCACACATTTTGATTTTGTCATACACTTTCTTGTGTTATTACTTAGCTGTTCCTGTGTGTATCTTCTCTTTCCAGCAGAAATGTAAACTGAAGACTAAGGATCTGGGTTCATTTACAACCCCTTATCACCTAGTACAGTGTTATGCACAAAGTAGTTGCCCAGAAATTGCTTGTTAATTCACACATCGATGAATTCAGAGCAGTATCATTATTTAGCTCTGTTTTCTGAAACAAATATATTCAGTGCATTCTGTATATTATGGTGTAGGGAAATCCTTCATGATTTTACATAGAGTAGAAGAATTTGGTTTTCATATGTCTCTTTTTTCTTCCTAACAAGAAAGCACCATCTAAAGGACATTCCTTACTACATGACTCAAGTGAGTGCAATTAGCTCTCAGCCACTGAAGAGAAAAAAAAAACCAGCCAGTTTTCTTGTATTCTGAACATTTTTCCTCTTCTAGTTCCATTGTGTAATAGAAGATTTCTCTTCTCACATATTTGCATCCAGGTTGATTTGACTAGATAAAACACATGTAGGAAAGAAGAATATATCTCAAAAACTGAATAGAATTTTTAAATACTTAAAAGTATGGTACAAACCATATGAATGGACTAAGGGAAGAGGATGATTGCTTTCTGTATTTAAGAAACTGAGAAAGAATTCAATCTCAGGGCCTAGGGGTAGGGAGACTAGAAATCGTGGGTAGCCCCATCTGACGTTCAGTTCTGGCCCTGTGAAACTGAACAGAGAAAGGTTCAGGACCCTAGTATGAACCAAGGGAGTAATGAGTGGATAATGCAGATTTAATTAGGGAAAACCTCCTCTGCCTGGACTACATGGAAAAATGTTTAGCTTGAACCTTCACAGAAATGTATTTTTTTTAATGTAATATTTATTTATTTTTAGCCTTTTTTGTTTTTTTAAAGTTTTGATTTCCAAATTATTTCCCTCCCTCTTGCCCTTCCCCACCCATTGAGAAGACAAGTAGTATATCAACTATACATGTGAAACCATGCAAAACCACAGAAATGTATTGAAAAGGAAGATTAGCCAGTTGTCCCTGCTCTTCACCTTGACTGAAATTATGTTTAATGTATGTTAAAGTGTTAACTATTTTATCCCAAATATTTTATTTGCAACTACTTAAATTTTGTAATTCTATGGATAATTAAGGAAACATTAGAATTGTTTCCTTAAGATCAAAATTCTTAAAGGTCTGGGAAAGTCTTTGTTTAATGCAGTGTATGCACTGGTACTAATAATTCCTGCTAGAGTATAAGCTCTGTGAGGGTGGATATTGTATGTGCTATTTATTATCCCCTTTCCCCCACATCACCCCCAAGTATCTAGTGCAGTATTTTGCACACTGTAGGTACTTGATAGATAATTGAAAAGATTTTCCCCTCCCTGGTGATGCCATTCTTGTCTAAAAATTTAGATTTTAGTTTTGGTCAACAGTCAATCTTACTTTGCCACCTTATGCCACCAGCAAGATTAAGCAGTATTCTAAATGACACTGAGAGTTGTTTTTTCCCCATTTTTGTTGCTGTTTGTTTTTTAAATAGATTGGGGAGGGGGGAAGGAGGGAGAGAATTTGGAACTCAATTTTTTAAAAATCAGTATTATTAAAATAGCTTGATGAAGCCAGTCCATTTTTCTTTCTTTTAAAATAAATTTTGCTTGGCTACATTTTGTTTTATATACCCTAATTTTCCTGTTTTTGTTCCCCTTCCCCCCAGTCATCTCTTATAATACATAGATTTTTAAAAGAGGAAAAAGAGAATATTCAGCAAAACTGATCAATACATTGAAAAATTATGATATTATATACAGTGTTAAATACCTGTGTGACCCACTCCCTTTCTACTATACAAATGAGTATGGGGAGAGGTATCTTCTCATAACTCTTTTTTGAAGCCAATCTTGTTCTTGGGAATTCTGCAGCATTAATTTTTATTGTTTCATGGTGGTGGTTCTTTCGTTTACATTGCTGTAGTCATCATGTATATTGCTTTCCTGGCTCTGCTTACTTCAACTTTGCATCAATTAGTATAAGCCTTTGCTGTTCCGTAGTCATCAGATTCATAATTTTTTACAACATAGTAATCTTCCATTACATTCATGTTTCAAAATGTGTTTAGCCATTTCCCAGTTGATGAGCATCTACTTTGTTTCCAATTCTTTGCTAGCACAAAACATGTTACTATGAAAATTTTGGTGTATATATATATATATACACACATATATACATATATATATATACATATATATATATATATATATAAATATGTAGAGCCTTTCTTTTTAATAATTAGGGTTTTTTTCCCTAAGTAGTTTATGTTTCCAGGTTTTTGATCATTGGATTGTTGATTTCCATTATTTCTGATTCTCCCTTATCTAGTTTGTTCCAGATTACCAAAGATGACAAAAGGTGGGAATAGCCTATGTTGGAGGGGATATGGAGAGACAGAAACACTAATGTAATGTTGGTTGAACTGCAAACTGTTCTAGCCATTCTGGAAAGCAGTTTGGAATTATGCAAATTAAGTGACTAAAATGTCCATACCCTTTGACTCGGAGCTACTTCTAGGCCTAAAGGAGGTCAGCAAATCAAAGAAAGACCTCCTAAGCACCAGAATATTTACAGCAGCACTTTTTGTAATAGCAAAGAATTGAAAACAGAGTAGGTGAACATGAGTCTGGTAATAGCTAAACAAGTTATGTATGTGAATGTTACCAAATATTGCTACATGATCAAAATATAGATAAATATGGGAAGACATATGAATGAATACAAAATAAAAGTAAGCAGAACCAGGAAAGCATTATGAACAATGATGACAGTAACAAAACACAGCAACAAAACAATTGAAACTGAATGTGATGAAACTTTGATGACCAAGTTTAGCCCCAAAGAAGAGAAATAAGAAGGTACTTTCTCTCTCTACCCCTACCTTTTTTGTGTGGGTGGAAGACTGAATGAAGGCTGCATATGATGTCAGACTCTTTGAACATGATAGTTTTACTGAGCTGCTTTTTTTTTTCTTTGTTATATAGGATGGCTCTCTGGGAGCGGGGAGGAGAAGGATATACATTGGAAAATATAGGTGATATAAAAACAAAACATATCAATGAAAATTTACTTAATAAAACTGGGGGGGGGGGAATACATTGCCAGTATTAACAAAGGCCATATGAAATAGGATTAACTTTTTGTCTTCCAAAGCAGAAGAAATAACAAATGACCCTTTTGATAATACAAGTGAGTAAATATTTCCAGAATTTGTTCAAGTGTTAGGCATGACATTGTAGATTCAAGATTATCCCTGCTTAGATTTTACTGCTTTCAAATATTCAGTGCTGTGGCCATTAATAAAAACACTCTGACAAGGGGAAAAGTATTTTTCCTACTTGTAATTAAGTGTGAAAAGAGAGATCTGGAAATAGAATCAGTTATATTCTACAGCTTTAAGCTATTAAACTTAACTACAGTAAGACTTTTGGGACACTGTATATTGTCATGAGTTGTCATGTACATATTAGTCTCTTCAACTAATAATTTCATGGGCAGGAATCCTATCTCTATGTTGTAATTGTCTTGTATCCTCCGTAGCACCTACAATACTTAATGAATGTTTTTCATGAATGCTTTTTGAAGTTTGTTTGCCTTTTGCAAAATCTTTTTATTCTTGATAATAAAGTTGCTTGGGCTATAAGTGTTTTTCACAATATTTCTCTCTCTTTTTTCTTAAAGGTGAAAAGCCATTTACTTGTGAAATCTGTGGCAAGTCTTTTACTGCAAAAAGTTCTCTTCAGACACACATCAGAATACATCGGTATGGTTTTTCAGATATTTTTCATATATAAAAGCTTTCTCCTGAAAATATTACTCCAATAGAATTTTTCATCAAGCATTTTAATATCATGTTCTCTCTTTTCCACAATGAAATCCTAAATTTTGTTTGCAGAAATACTGACAATTAGTTCAAAACTTAAATCTACAATAAAAAAATTAAGGACGCATAGAATATTTTTATTCATTCCAATTAGTCTTAGACTGGATCACAGTCATTTTTTAAACATACACATTTGGGGATTGTTTGAATGCTTTTTTGTTATAGTAACATTAATCATATTTGTGCAGTTATATAAACACATGGATTTTCTCTATGAATTAAGGACATGATGTTACATTTCCTGTAACATTTTAGCAGTAAGGAGATGATCTCATCCAATGTACTTATTTTTTAGAAATGAGGAGCTTGAGAGAAGTTAAGAGAGTTGTCCAAGGTCACACAGTGGCAGAGCCAAGATTAGAACTAGTGCCTCCTGCCTCCTAGTCAAGTACTGTTGGGGCTACAGCATGTTGCCACCCTAAAAATTTAAACTCAGTTATGAGAAACATTTTTTAAAATGTAAATTTTGTGTTTATTTTTCTTTACAGAGGAGAAAAGCCATATTCTTGTGGCATATGTGGGAAATCCTTCTCTGATTCCAGTGCTAAGAGGAGACACTGTATATTACACACAGGCAAAAAGCCTTTTTCCTGCCCCGAGTGTAATTTGCAGTTTGCACGCTTAGACAACTTGAAGGCTCACTTAAAAATCCATAGCAAAGAAAAACCCTTTCCAGAAGCTCCTAATGCTCCCAGCAGCAGCAACCCAGAGGAAGTTCGGAATATTCTCCATCTCCAGCAGTATCAGCTTTCCACCTCTGGAGAGCAAGAAATTCAACTCCTAGTAACAGACTCAGTCCATAACATCAATTTCATGCCTAGCCATAGTCAAGGAATCAGCATTGTCACAGCAGAAGGCACCCAGAGCATGGCAGCAGACCAAGCCGCTGACCTTACAGTGCTCACTCAGCAGCCAGAACACCTGCAGGGTTTGATTCTTTCAGCTCAGCATGACCAAACGGAGCACATCCAGAGTCTCAATATGATGGACAACCAGATAGCAACCTCACCGACTGAACAGGTGCATATAATCACCCTGTCCAAGGAAACCCTGGAGCATCTTCATGCTCACTGAGAACCAGCTGAGGAGCTTAGAAGCGGCCCCTTCTTGCTCAGCTCAGCCCATACAACAGACCCAGGGGTCAAGCTGACAGGCCAGGAGACACCGTTGTGGCCCAGCCCACACAGCTTAATGCACAGTTCAACAAAAGTGTAATTCTATGATGTTTGTCCATAAGCTGACCATGCTGTGATTAATGACTCTTAAAGTCGGGCTTTCTGATAATGATTTTTTGGTTCCAATATGCAGAGTTGTTTTCATCCTTTCAGATACTAGAAAACTAATATTTATAATGCTGTACATTCAAAGCTGTAAAGTGGCTTGAACTTGTCTGATTTGAACTATCATGTGACTTGAACTGACCTGTTTGGTAATATTGGTGAAAAACTTTCACTTTTATTCCATCTCTTAGGTCTTAGATTTTCACTCAGGTGCTCTATTATAATGAAGGCAGTTATGACTTTTATGTAAGAGTTGAAATTCATACCTTGTGTTATATTTCCAGTCTTCAGGGTGACAATTCTGCTAAGTGTATTTTGGTTCTTTGATGAACTACAAAAGTCAGTCATGTGTTAGTTTAAATTTGACATATTTGTTGGTTTTGCCTCCTTGTTACTGATGAATACAGAATTGCCACTAAAAGCTTACAGAATGCCAAGCCTTCATGATACGTTAAGGAGTACACAGTCTTTGACCCTCTGACACCAAAGAATTAGTAACAGTCTTGTACTTGAATTATTTCATGATTCTGTAAGTCTACTGCATTGTACTTGAGAAGTAAGAATATGTGGTAAAGCCCTTTATTCAGGATCCAAGCAATCGGAAAACTGAAAGAACATATGTTTACATATACAGAGGGAACATATTCTGAACTCTACTTATGTGAGAAAAGCAAATGTATCTAATAAGTATTTCTTTAAGTAATATTCAGAGAATGCCACGGGGGTGAGTACAGATTTCAGTCTAATGTTTTTCGTCTTCATTACTCTACGATGATACTTGATATTCTTGAAGGGTCTTCCAAATCATTGGAAAGGTAATATTAAATCCAGAATGTTGCTATATTCCAATTGTCTGAAAATTGAATCTACAGTAGCCAATACTAACCCCAATCCAATTTAGACTAAAGGAAAATTCTCACAAAAGTTAGGCGTCATTTTTTAAAATGGCTTTTAATGATTAAAAAAGCAGATTTCTTTGGACCCCTGCTAAGCCTTACAGAATTAGTAACCACTTTGTACTTTTAATCATTTTACAATTGAGTCATCATAGAAATATTAAATTGTGTGGAGTATGATTTTTAATGCTGTGTATTTTGGCTATACTTTTCTGTCAGATAACTAATTAGGGGTTCTTGAGAAAATCTAAGGACATAATTTGGTTGTTTACAATTTATATAATTGTGGGATAGACTAGGAGAACCTGACACTAAAATACTGGGCATAGTTCATTTGAGGTGGCTTTTGCATTAGTTGCTGGTTTTTAAGTACCCCTGATTTCTAGCCTTCAAATACATGTTTTGCAGGTTGAAGTAATAGTGTTCTTCAGGTTTGTTGAAGAATCACAGTTCCTTTTTACATATTTGATGTGCTGTATTTTTATTATGTGGAACCCAATTTCCAGAGTAATCTATTTTATATATAATGAGAAGAGCAACATTATATGGATTCTAACTAGGCCAAAGGTAGAAGCTAAAGTTTTATAAACAGAGTTGTAGACAAAGTAGCATTTTGTGTTCTGCCATATATAGCTTAACCTTATAAATAAATGTAAAATAATTATTAACTCATAAACATTTTCAAACTTTCATTTTCTCCAGAAGTTCTATAAGTAGTAAAATCAGAATTTGGTTTATAACTTCATCTGGCGTAGTTACTTCTTGGGGGAAAATGAGAAAGTGGTGATAATTGATCAATCTAGTTTCATAAACTTTATGACAATGTAAGCAGCTTGTATGTAGAAAAGATATCTCCCCTTATTTTTTTTTGCCTGGAAAAGAGAAAACCTGGGAGGAGACATATTAGCCATCTTCATTTCTTTAAAGCCAGGACCAGTGGGTGGAAGTGCAACAAGTGGAACAACTTTCTCACTGTTAACAATTCTCTGAAAGTGGAATAAACTGAGGTAGTGAGTTTTAGCTTGAGGCTAATATCTCATTGTCAGAGTTGTTGAGCTTTCTTTTTTCCTTTTTTTTTTTTTTTAGGCAGTTGGGATTAAGTGACTTGCCCAAGGTCACACAGCTAGTAAGTGTCAAGTGTTTGGTCTGAGGCCAGGTTTGAACTCAGGTCCTCCTGACTTCAGGGCCAGTACTCTATCCACTGTGCCACCTAGCTGCCCCAATTGTTGAGCTTTCTGAATGAATTCATCTCAGATGCCTCATGATGTTAAGATTGGATGATCATTTGTAATTATGAGACCACTTACTAAAGGGGAAGAAAGAACCTGCTCTTTCTAACTCTAGCTTTCCCTTTGCCCCTACACATATTTTATCACTTTTAAATGAAAACTCTTAATGTAGGCATGCCTCCCCCTCAGAAAAAAAAAAGTGAAGTGACCCATCCAGAAGAAGGAAGCTGTAACTGATGCGAAATTTCCAATTATGGGCATGGTAAAATTTGATGAAATTTGAAGTGGTATTACATACCTCATGGTATAGATTGTACAGTGTTTGACAGAAACAATTTCAGCCCAAATTAATTTTGAAATAAGTCTTGAATTTGTGATGAATTGTAGGGTAACAATTTTCTTAAGCATTCTTGAATGTAAGAGGGACAAAGGAGTCTTCTTGGGGGGGAGAAGGTCTTAATTTTTTTATACTTAAGGTTCATGGTTGAGTCAGTGTGATACTGCCTTTTGAGAGGAAGTCTACTGGTTTCTGTCATTTATAAAATTAGACTAAAAGATTATCTTGAAGTAAAGGGCTAATCATTGGAAAGATAAGCTTCTTTAAAAATGACTTAGTTATAAAGGCTTTTGCCTATAAAAAGCCTAAAAGTCCTTCCATTTCCACTTCCACAGTTTGGTTTTATTTTTCCAAACGAGTCTAGTACAAAATCCTAGAATTTCAAAGCTAGGAAAAGGAACTTAGGGGTTGTCTAGTCCAGGGGTGGGAAACCTGCAGCTTCAAAGACACATAACCTTCTAGTGGCCTTGGGTGCAGCCTTTTGATTTTAAGGGTATTTGTTCTGTGAAGTTTGGATTCAGTCAAAGGGCCCCACTTGAGGCCTCAAGGCTACAGATTTCCCACCCTGATCTAGTCCAACCCCTTTATTTGACAGATAAAGAAACTGAGGCCCAGAGGGTTGAAGTGACCTATCTGAAGTCACGTAGCTAGTTCATGGCAGAACTGGACTTGAAACTCAGGTCTCTACTCTCCACTAAACTCCATTGCTTTTGCAAAAGTAAACTAGAAATGTCTCAAGCTCCAAGTTATGTAAAACTTTAAGCTATTTTTGGTTTTATAGCTTATTCCCTTTCATTGCATTTTTTTGTGAAGTAAGTAACCCTTTTATAAGGTATAGCTAATAACAGAAGAAATTTCATTTTCTAAAGGCATTATTTGCCTAGAATGTAAGCATTACAACATAGCCATGTCTGAAAATAAGTACTGGTAGTTGGCCAAAATATAAATTTGGCAATATTTTTGTCCATGCCTCTGAGCACTCAACAGTAGGTTGGAAATGGGAGCAGCTGGGCACAGGATGCCCCCAATCCTGCTAAAATCAATCAGGCGTTTCTTAAGTACCTAGTTAGCACCAAGCACTGTTAAGACACTGGGATTATAAGTACAAGGACTAAAACAATCCCTGGCCTCAAGGAGCTTAGATTCTAATGGAATGTGTTAGCACACATGTTCCCGTAGAAATATTACTCAATCGTGATTAGGTTATTTGTGCTGTTATTCTTAATATTGTTGTACAAAGGTCAGTGGACTTCAGAAGACTGAGGTGTGGCTCTGACTTATTACTCATGTGACTTGGGACAGGGCCGGCTTCAGCTTTTTTATTTGTATCATCAGTGTTTGGAACACAGTGTTCATTAAATACTTGATTAAGTGAGCCTTTCTGCCTCAGTTTACTCATTTGTAAAGTGGAGATAATTCATTACTTCAAGATTTCTGTGTGTGAAGTCCTTGGGAAACTTACTACATTAAGTGTGAATAGTAGGAGCATTATATGTAAGCTACATTATAGGTTAAATAAATCAGCCTTTAATGGACTGGCCTTAAAGCTGGAAAGAAGCCATACTACAGTGTACAGGAAAATGCGTTTAAAATTACAAAGAACCTCATTTATAAACTGTTAGAATATCATCTGTTTGTAGACAGTTTGAGGATGGGCTTTATATCATCTTTTATCATACAGTAGTACTATCAGGGACAGGTAGGTGACAAAGTAGCTAGAATGCTGGGCCTGGAGTCAGGAAGACATCTTCCTGAGTTCAAATCTGGCCTCACACACTTAGTAGCTGTGTGACCCTGGGCAAGTCACTTCACTCTGTTTGCTTCAGTTTCCTCATCTGTAAAATGAGCTGGAGAAGGAAATGGCAAAGCACTCCAGTATCTGCCAAGAAAATCTCAAATGGGGTCATGAAGAGTCGGACATGACTGAAAAAACAACTGAACAAAGTACTATTTTAATAGCATTCATAGAGTATTTTCAATTATTTATTACTGACCCTAGCTGAAATACGAGGTAGCATTTTAATTGCTTAGAAAGATTTATTATACCTTAACAGGATTTTGATTTTGCCTGTTTTCTTTATCAATGACTAATATGTAAGATAACTGAGGAAAATCGCTCACTTTAGTTCCCTTTTGCACATTGAGGTTCTTTTGCTAATTCCAGATTTAAAAATAAAAATAATTAAGGATTTTTTTTTTAAATCTGGTCACATAGGCAGTTTGCATATAGCTGAGATTATATTGCCTGTGTTTATTTACTCCCCTAGTCAGAGTGCTGGCAGCATGGAAGCACCAGGATTAAGTAACTTTTTTTTTTTACTGGTGGCATTAAAAAATCCATTTTGAATTCCTTTACTTTCATTTTGGATCTATGGATTCAATATCAAGTGATTCAGCTCTGTTTTCAGGAAAGTGTGGTCCATATCAAAAAGGCACCTGTTCAAATGATATTTTACTGCACTGTCATGTACTAAGGTAAGTTTTCCAGAAACTAATCTTGAATAAGGAAGAGAATCATGCAGAGGAAAGATACCCAAAAAATGAGAGCCCCAAATTGTAATTTGGGATTGAAAAGTAGAAGAGCTTATCAGATGCCGAGCTAAGAAATTACCTGAAATGTGCGTGGACTTTTACGCTGATTTCAATTAACAAAGAGAGGTTTTGGGACAGAGAAATGGCTTTTAGAGAGAGTCAGACAGAGGAGAGAGGGTTATTGTCTCTTCCTGATGGCCCCAGACATTTAACATTGGCTATGGTTGGCATAGATAAGTGTGATATTTACAGAAGCACCAAAACATGGTGCTTGAATGAATGGAAATCTGTTGCAAGATACCACATAGACTTATTTTATTACTTTTTATATTTTTATTTATCATTTATTTATATTTTATTACTTTTATAAATGTTTTTCTGCTATGCTGTGGATAAGCAGCACCCAAATTTGATGAAAATTAAGTAGATGTTTATAAATAGTAAACGTAAGGGGCAGCTAGGTGGCGCAGTGGATAGAGCACCAGCCCTGAAGTCAGGAGGACCTGAGTTCAAATCCGGCCTCAGACCAAACACTTGACACTTACTAGCTGTGTGACCCTGGGCAAGTCACTTAACCCCAATTGCCTAAAAATATATATAGTAAATACTAAATGTGCTCATTTTGCTTTCTTGCTTGAAAGAGAAATAGATGCCTTTGATTCTTAGACGTGTGAACAACAAGCAGAAGAGTCAGGGAAAGAGTGCTAGATTTGGAGTCAGGATCTGGGTTCAGATCTTGGCTCTTGTCACTTACTGCAATACTTGTATGACCTTGACAAGTCACTCTCCAGGACCTAATTTCTTTTTCCTTTTTTTTTTTAATTTTATAAAGGAATATTTACTAAGAAGATAGAGCAAGAACAGGAGTTAAGACTAGTCCCCCCCAACACCCAGGCCACAGTCTCTTCTATACCACATTGGTCAGTAGAGGGAGTAAGTTCAAACATAGTGCAGTTTCTGCAATGCATTTGCTCAGCCAAGTTCACTTCTGAATTTAACATAGCCAATTGGTTAGTTTCTCCTCTTAGTAGGACTAGTTATCATAACTTCAGGTCAGTTGGGCTGAGCCCTGGCTCCTTGAGACTGTGTTGGTTGGCCAGGCTTGGCCGGTCACAAACTCTGGCCTCAACTTTAGCTCTTGGAGCTCTAGTGGTTCTCAATCTTTTGCAGTTCACAGGTCACGGGGCCTGATCTATTCCATCTCTAATACAAATTCATGACTTCATGTGGACCTGAGTAGGGAGAGTTGGCCTCAGGTACTAGTGGGACCTCTCTCAGCAACAACAAGGTCAGTCACTCATGTGACTGACCTTATGCCAATTCTGGCTACCCAGCTATGGATGGGAGAAGGCCAGAGGCCTCTCCCCACCCACAGCAATTGTCCTACTCTGGATACTAGGAAAGAAAGAAGGGCAGGTTCTTATTTTCTTCTGTAATGTGAAGGGATTGGACTTGGATGACCCATAAGGATCCTTCTGGGGACCTATACTTCGTGTTAAAAAAAATTATTATTTTTAATTAGCATTTACTTCCCCTCCCACCTTCCTATCCCCTACTGAAAAAAAGGGGGGAAAAATTGTGATAAATACACGTCAGTCAAGCAAAACAAATTCCCACATTGGCTATGTCCAAAAAACATTTTGTATCCAGCCCATTATCTCTATTAAGATGGTGGTAGCATGCTTCCTCATCAGTTCTCTGCCATCATGGTTGGTTATTGCATTGATCAGAATTCTAAAGTCTTTCACAGTCATCTGTCTTTAGAAAGTTAACATATAAAATGTTCTGGTCCTATTTACTTCATTTTGCATCAGTTCATACAGCTCTTCCCAGGTTTCTCTGAAACCATCCCTTTCTTCATTTCTTATGGCACACTAGTATTCCATTACATTTAAATACTACAATTTATTCAGCTATTCCCCAATTGATGGGCACCCAGGGAACCCAAATCTATGACTAGGTATCATACATCATGCCCTACAATGCCACATACCAGAAAATGAAATGCTCAGTCTTGAATGGAGAATAATTTCTTTTTGTATAACTGAGAGAGAACTTA